CAACCAAGAGAGCTGGGAATATCTGTGTATGCAAAGTAATTGCATTTTGTCCCTTCATTTTGACTTTCTTAGATTCATAATTTGATAGAGTGCTTAAACTTCCAAGGAAATTTTAAACAATTACATTACCTGTTAAAAATAAGACTTGTTGGAAACCTAGTCCATCAGGTGATTTCAAAAATTTATTTTTGATATGAGTAGCCACAGCTGTCATATACCCCATCTCAAAAGGAAGAACTGTTTTGAACAAGATGAATGGAAAATTCTGATTAATTTTGAATTTCATGTAATGACAACATATTCTTTCATAAAACTATGGCCTGTTTAAGATGGAACTTTGTGTGTGTCTGCTGGGGAGGGTGGGGGTACGTGTGTATGGCATGTGTTCTTGAAATGTCTCTTTGAATATCCAAAAAAGTACTGTACTGTAGAAATGCTCTTTGATAAAGTCTATCAACTGACCATGATCACATGTATGTGCAGTGGGCTAGCCTTGGTCCTCAGGGACAGTGTGTGACTCTAAGGGTCTTCCTAACCAGTCTCTGGCCTGAAGCTATCTGAGAACTCTCCTGGTTTTAATGACAAATAATGTTATGTTGAGGTTATGCTTCCTTTGTTATTTGCTGGTTTCCTACTAAATGTAGCATTTCAATTAGATCCAACCTTCACATTTTGAGATAATTGTAAAAAGAATGAAATTATGCAGAAATGACCAATATCTCTTACCAATCTGTTCTTTTGGAAACCCACATGCACTATAAATTGTGTACAGTTAAAATATATATATATATATTCTTACATGAGTTAGAAGCACCCTCTCCCAGCAATCATGTCATTGGTATTTGAAGAGAATTCCCAAATAACCCACTGCTGCTGCTGCTGCTGTTTTTGATTTGTATGGGTTTTTGTTTTGTTTTTGTGTGGTAAATTGATATTTTAAAAAGGAGAAAAAAACACGACTACTGTTTACAGACTGAAAAATTATTGCTTTTTATACTACTGAGATCCTAAGTTAAGACTCTCCAAAGCAAACATTTGGTTTAACTCATTTATCTGATGTGGATAAAAGGTGGAGAAACTTTTAGTCTTCTTCACATAATGGAAAATGTACAAATGCCTAGTTGTGTTGCCCATCAATTTTGTATATTTTCATAATTTTAATTGTTCAAAATTGCATTATATTTTGCAATCACTATGTTCAATCTGGATTTGTCTTTCATTTTAACTTTTAATATAAAAAGGGGTTTCAATGTATCTACAGGCTTGTTATTGAAACTTCCTGCTTATTTGATGTGATTTATTATGGGAAGTGTATATTCTTCCTTCTTAAGTAAGTGAAGCATAGCAAATCTACTTTAAACTGGATGGGTTAATTTATATAAACATTTTCATTTTAAGTTGGCATTTCTGCCTGGTTTCTTTTTCTTCAGATTCTTAGAAGCCACAACCTTCTAAACGGTGTTAATTCATCTCAATTGTGTATTTTAGTGCTATACCCAGCATATATTTGATATTTCAGAATTTAGAATTTTTATTCCAAGACAGCTAGTCTTTTTGGCTCAAAAGTTAGTACCTTCTATACTTGTTCAAAATATATGTATTGAACTTAGCATATAGCAGATTCCACTTTAGGCTCTGCTGAGACCCTATGTCCTCGTTAGTAAATGAGTAACCTATATCCTAGTTAGTGGCTGTGAGGCAGGGAAGAGGCAATAAAAATATTAGTTTGTAATTAAGTCCTGCTTAATGAAGTAATCACAGTGTGAGTGTATCTCAAGGGTTACTTCAGACTGGGTTACAGGAGGACCTCCCAAGTGGTGTCCTCTGATCTGAATGATGAAGTCTCAGGAAAGAAAGGAACGAACACACATGCAAATGCCCCAAGGCAGGAAACTGCTGAGCTGGTTCCAGGAAGTGAAAGTGTTCAAGTGGCTAGGACTTAATCAAAGGGGTAGGATTGAGAGACAGAACGGGATGAAATCCATCAGCACTTTGTAGTCAGGGGAAGGAATGAGATTTTATTCTAAATTTAGTGTGAAGTTACTGGAGGATTTCAGGGAGGCTAATGATATGATTTATCCAAGGGTACTCAAACCCACACAAGCTGGGATTCAGAACTTATTCAGGTACACTGACAACACAGTAGAAGTAGGAACTGTTTTTTCCTCTATTTTTCTTTCTGTCCTGTGGTATTGTCTCTTTGTATGAGCCCCATAGAGTCAGTTTTTGCCTGCTTCTTCAGTTATGAATTAACTCCATCCCAAGGTTTTTTTTTTTTTTTTGAGACGAAGTCTTGCTCTGTAGCTTGTTATGGGATCTCGGCTCACTGCAATCTCCACCTCCCCAGTTCAAGCAGTTCTCCTGCCTCAGCCTCCTGACTAGCTGGGATTACAGCATGCCACCACAACCAGCTAATTTTTGTATTTTTAGTAGAGATGGGGTTTCACCATGTTGGCCAGGATGGTCTTGGTCTCCTGCCCTCATGATCCACCCACCTCGGCCTCCCAAGGTTTTTCTTTAGCAAAAGGTAGGTAGACCTCACTGCCATTCTTAATTTTCTCCAGAGATGGGCTCAGGTTTATGCTTTATGTACCCTGTTTCTTACAGAGTTGTTCCCGCCTTGATGCAGTCATGTATTTAATAGTATGACTGGAGGGTAAGCCACCATGAACCAAATGCTTTTACAAATTATTTGTGGGGTTCCTATAACAGTTTATGCTTCAGGAGTACAGAGCTTTTCTGCAACCTCCAGCTTCCATAGAGCCCAGTAAATTTAAGCCTCAGATACTGTACTATTTTACAAATGAGAAAAGTAGTTGTTGCAGACAAGACTACTGTTTAGCATTGAAATTACCTAACTGCAGCAAATAATTCAACCTCTCTTAAGCATTGGGGGAAATGAACTAAAGTCCAGATCCCCCTCACCATCTCACATTCTTATGTCTTGTTGGCCACGTTCATATTCCCAGATTAGTTCTTTATGTGCCATCTCTCTTGATGCAATTCCAACTCCAACATTTTTTGTGGTGCTAATTACCAACAACTATTTGCAAATTAAAATTACTCTTGGCATTTGAGAAAACTTGCAAGTTCCTTAAACACAATTCATGTTGGATCCAGTGTCTGCTTCAGGTTATCAGGAAATTCCCTTAAAATTGAAAATACTTAACCAGGTGCAGTGGCATGCACCTGTACTCCCCAGCTACTCAGAAAGCTGAGGTAGGAGGATCACTTGAGCCTAGGAATTCAAGTCTAGCCTGGGCAACATAGCAAGACCACCATCTCTAAATATTTGATTGACTCTGTGAAGCCAGTCCATAGCCTTCATTAGAATCTGAATAGCAGCACTTGAGCCACAATATTAATAGATGCTAAGAGGTAGAGGAAAGGAATCCATTTGACCTGGGTGAGTGAAGACTGGATTTTATGTGACATGTGCAAATCACTTCAGACTCTAAAACTAGAAACAGGGCCCATTTTTAACTAAAACTACTGGATAACAAAGGGCCTCTGACAAAGGTAATGTAGTTCTGCCCAATAGCTCAGGTTTCTTCAACTTGATGCCCTGGGGTTGTAAATAATGATACCCAGCCAGAACCCATCCAGTGCCGTGCCCATGGAGGTACTGTCACCTTCCTGCTTCTCACAATTGAGAGTCAAGATTAGTCTTCATTCAGGTACTCTGGATGCATTTAGTATCAGAGTCCTTTTCCTGCCTGCCATTTGTCATCTTCTTCTAATTTCCATAAAACAGTGAATACTTTGCTCTTCAGAAGTGATCCTGTTTACTAGCCTGACGTGTTGGCTCACACCTGTAATCCCAGCACTTTGGGAGGCCAAGGCCGGTGGATCACAAGCTCAGGAGTTCAAGACCAGCCTGGCCAAGATGGTGAAACTCTGTCTCTACTAAAAACTACAAAATAATTAGCCAGACATGGTGGCAGATACCTGTAATCCCAGCTACCTGGGAGTCTGAGGCAGGAGAATCGCTTAAACCTTGGGATGGGGAGGTTGCAGTGAGCCGAGATCATACCACTGCACTACAGCCTGGGCAAAGGAGATCCTGTAGACATGGAACACACTGGAACAGCCAAAACAAGTTTACCAGTTAGAAGCATCCAAAAAGATCTTTCAAAAGTTTCAGTGAGAACTGAAATAATGAGAAGGGAAAATTTAGAAATTATACTAAATATATTCTTTCATCATATTACATAAGGTGTTGGCAGGTGGATGTTTAGGTTTAAACATCTTTTACTTACTTGGTTTGAATTGTTAGCCTAAGCTACAGTTTTTTTGTCCCATCTCATTCAAAACATGGATTTCCTCTATTTTTGTTTCCAGTAACTAAATATATAGCAACCTGGATAAAATGGAGGAAAGTAATTCAAGGTCTTATTTGCCAACTCCATTCAACTTAAATTGCTTTGTGTAGGTACAATTAGACTTATTTCAGGAGCTATGGTCTGATGACATTTTCAAATGGTTAAATATGAAAGTAGGGCTGTCATGAAGCTCACTATTGCAGATAGTGATTTCAATGTTGGCACAAGTGCTCTCTGCTTTCTAGAAGTTGGTGTTTATTTAGTGACAGTGATTTAGATGGAAAATATTTTTGAATTTTCATATTGGACTGGACTATATCATTTAGCTGTATAAATCCAAGTCACAGAATATATCAGTAGAACTAAGAATTTGCTATATGTACCTTGCAGAGCATGAAAAATAATTATACCATGGTCCCTCAATGTTGGTTCAAAGTGTTCATCAATATTCCTGTTAAGTTTTAAGGACTGGAAAATGGACCACACACTTTACCATCATCAGCCAATCCATGTCAGTCTGAGTATCACTGGAAAAAGACAAACGTATGCCAGTTTCCATAATGTTATGAGGATAGTTTGTTACCCTGGGAGAGTAGAGGTCATACCAGCTTAGATTCAAAGAGGAAAGCAGGTCATAGACCAAAGTATAATTTGAAAAGACAACAGAATGGCTGCAGGTCCACTTAACCAAAACACTGAAACTTTAATTGAATCAGATTTACACCTGTCAAAGACCTGGGCCGAATACTCCTCTCTCCTCTTTATAGCACCAATTCCTTCTGAGGGGTCAACTCACCAGCCACCTGAGTAAGGGCTCCAGCTATCCCCAGACCAGCTAGAGACATCCTAAGCATGGTCATATCAGCATTAATGTCCAGGCAGAAGCAGGGCTCAGAACTGTGGGTTAGTACCACTTTTCCCACCACCCCCTTATATTCCACAAGGGACTCACAGCCAGCAGGTTAACTCTCCCTCCCCAACCCCACCAAACCCTGGAAAACCATAGAGAGCCTTTTTACAGCTCCTCTTTCTCAGCCCCTTTCTTCTGGAAGGCAGTCAGGATGTTTAAGCTCTTCTGGAGCTCCTCCTTCTTCCCGTCACTCATCTTGTTCTTCTCAATCAGCCTGGCGATCCGTGTCATCTCTGATACTGGGAAGTCCTCCCCTTGGTCTAAGATCTTCCCCATGATCTTTAGGTATTGCTCAGCCCACTTCTTCTCAGTCTCCTTCACACTTGAAAGATTATCCTGCCCCCGCTTCAAGAGGGCCTGGCGGGCCTCCACACCAGAGGCCCTGATGAACTCCCCAGCTAGAGCGTCGTATGCTGGCAGGCAACCAGGCATACCTAGGTAGACCCCTTGGCCCTTCAGCCAGCGCTGGATGGCTCCAACCTTAATTGCCCCAGTATATGGGACTGGATGCTCAAAGTCCCCATCCCGGAAGAGGTAGAAGACTGGGTAGCTCTCTTTATCCAGCTTGTATTTCTCACTCAGTTCCATGTTCAGCTTGTCACCATAATCTGTGAGCAGAAACCAGACACAAAGAGCAAGACCATAAGGAATTCAGGACAGGTAATTGCTATGGAACCTACTTAAGCTGAGGGGAAGAAGAATTTTCTTGGCTGTGTAATGGTTCAAAGTGAAGACCAACCATACAGACCTGGGTTTGAATTCCTCTTCTGCCATTTCCTAGCCATGCAGTACTAGGCACATCATTTAAACTCTCTGAACTGTTCTTCATCTGAAAAAATGGAGACTCTTCTGAAGAGTTATTCTATGCCCACTATGTGTCAGATGCTGTTCTAGGTGTTGGGGGTCTAGTTGTGATTAAGAGTATTAAGCTCATATTCTTCTAAAGGAGAGAAGAGACATAATAATGAATGAACATAGGTGATGACTGCCATGGGGAAAACAAAACAGTGTGATGTAACAAAGTGAATGGGTAAGAAAGCCCACTTCAGGTGGTCAGGGAAGGCCTCCCTGTGAAGGTGACATCAGCTAAGGGACCTGAATGTCCTGGAGCCAGCCACGTGAAGATCTGGGAGGAGTGCCTCACACACAAAGGACTGCAAATGCAAAAGCTCTAAGGCAGGACTGAGCTTGGGAGATTTCAGGATCACAAAGGCCAGTCTGGTTGGAGCTGGATGAGAAAGGGGAGCATGTGATAGGGAAGGAACAAAGTCCCTGCTACATGGGGGCTGTTGGGAGGACCAGATGAGGGAACATGTGCGTGATACTTTTGCAGGGTTAAATGTGTGGTAGTTGCTGTTAGTATCTGCAACATCCTTCCTAATAGGCAGAAGCAGTCCCAAAGGCTGAAGCTGTGACAATTGGTTTCTTACACTTTGCCAAGAAGGAACGGCTAAGACCAACCACTACTGGTGGTAATGGGGTTCCAAACCTAGTTCTGCCATTTAACAGTTCCACTATCTTGAGCAAGTTACTCTAAGCATCCATTTCTTCATTTGAAAAAATGGAAGTAATAGTACTATGGGACTTCCTTCATAGAGCTTTTGCAAGGATGAAACACATATACAACACCCAGCACAGTGGCCTGGCACACAGTAAACATCTGATAAATGTTAGCTATTATTATTCTAATAAAAGCACCAAAGGAGTTACGTGAAGTTGAGTAAAACCTGACTGACTGTCCTGGAGAGGTGTGCCAGCTATCTCTACCAAGGACCAGACTTTCTACTAAGTTCCCAGCTTACTACAGAATGGAGGCATCCAAGCTGGGAGGGAAGTGACATAAGCAAGCCCCTGCCTGGGACTAAACACTTAGTAGGAGTTCTGGATGGGCTACTCCATAGCCCACAGTCCTTTAAGTTTCAGCTTCAGTTTTTTTCCTCAAGTATCACACAGAGATAATATATCGTGCTTCTCAGGCAGAGTTCAAGTGAAGATTTAAAATGCAATGGGGGTGCAGATCTTTACCCTGTCGACCACTAAATGCTGGTGACTATTAAAGCTGTCACTGTGGTTGATAGGTGCCCTTGGATTAGTGGTGGCATCAGTGTGTTTGAGCAAAGTCAAAACCCAAGAGTTTTGCTACAGAAGCTGAAATAAAGACAGAAGAACTGACTATGCTGTCCCTTAAGGGACATAGCACCCTGTCTGCCCAGTGTTCCCTGAAAGGAAAGCTCAAAGTTTTCAGTTTTATGTCAGAGAGGGGTGGAAGGTGAAGAAGAGGGGTTCCCTTCCCTTCAGGCACCTGTACGGCTGAGCTGAGATTCCATGGTCCCAGAATCTGCTCAGGCTAAGCCTACACCAGATTCCTTTAGAGGCTATGAACCTGTTTACTTACACTCCTTGAAGATGGCTCAAAAGGAAAGGTGCTGGGTATTCCTGTTCCAAGTAGGGAAACGATTCCTAGCTTCCTCCCTCTCTGCCCTCCCCAGCCATCTTGTACTTGTCCATACCTGAGATCCCCACCTCTGCCACCAAGAGATCATCGCTGGAAGCCGAGTTTTCAGCAAGACGCTTGAACTCATCCTGCTTCTCACCGTAGGGGTACTGGGTGTCGAACTTCACCAAGACGAACTTGCTTTTGGGAATGACCTGAGGGCGTATAGAGCTGAGCAAGTGGGTGTTCCAGGAACTTTAGGGGCTAATTCCCCTTCCCAAGGGGCCCCGATTTAAGAAATAGAGTGGAAACAAGCCCACAAGGGAGACAAGCTCTCAAAAATATTTATTCACACATCCATTGACTCATTTTACAATTTAGTGAGTGCCAGCTACATGCAGGGCACCCTATTAGTACTTGTTCACACTAATCAAAGATATACACAACCCTGTCCAGAATAAACAAGGCTGCTGACATACTAAGGCCTTCACCTACAGCAGTCCTTTGTTAAGTGAAGGAGACTCTTTGCACACTACGTCAGCCCCTGTTATGCTCATCATTCTAGGATGCCTTTCTCAGCAAACCCTGAAGAAGAAATTTGATAAAAATAAACAAAACCACCTACAAAGAGTTGGCATCATGGAGGATGCTTTGGCAAGATAGGCCAGGGTTTGAACCCAGCAATTTCAGGGCAGGTAAGTTGGTGAGAGGCCAGGTTTAAGACAATGTCCTCTCCCTAGACCACACTTCCCTCTGGCTAGGCCTCTGGGTTTTAAACTGTTAGGGCCAGGACTTTTAATTGTAGTAACATTCACATAACATTTGCCACTGTAACCATTTAAAGGTGTACATTCAGCATGATTCAGTGCATTAAGAATGTGCAACCATCACTACTGTCTAGTGCCAGAACATTTTCATCACCCCAAACGGAAACTCCATACCTATTAAGTAGTCACTCCCCAGTTCTCCTCCTTCCAGCCCCAGCAACTACTAATCTATTTTCTTCTCTATATATTTGTCTATTATGATGGAAATGTACAATATGTGGCCTTTTGTGTCTGGCTTTTTTTCACTTAGCATGTTTTCAAGGTTTGTCCATGTTGTACCACGTATTGGATCATTGTTACTTTTATGGCCAAATAAATATTATACTGTATGGATAGACCACATTTTGTTTATTCACTCATCAGCCGAACGTTTGGGTTGTTTCCACCTTTTGGCTACTGTCAATAGTGCTGTTATGAACATTCATTTAACACATTTGTTTGAACACCTGTATTCCACTCTTTTGGGTATATAACTACAAGTGGAACTGTGGAAGTCATATGTTAAGTCTGCATTTAACTTACTGAGGAAGCCAAGGACTTCTTTTGATGGCTTCTCTCAAAGTACAAGTATTATCTAACAAGCCACCTTTAGGGTAACACTGTCTTCCTCACTCCCATCAACTTTTTGTTTTCCTAATCCAAGCGATCCCTACCATCAAGTTTTTCATCACAGGGAATCACTATAAATAATCACATCTAGGCTGAGCATGGTGGCTCACACCTGTAATCTCAACATTTTGTGGGGCTAAAGTGAGAGGATCACTTGAGGCCAGAAGTTCAAGACCAGCCTGGGCAACATAGCTGGCTTTAAAAAAAAAAAAAAAAAACTAGCCAGGCATGGTGGCACACACCTGTAGTCCCAGCTAAGTTACTCAGGAGGCTGAGGTGGAAGGATCACTTGAGCCTAGGAGTACAGTGAACTATGACTGCACTGTAATCCAACCTGGGTAACAGAGAGCCCCATCGCTCACTCTCTCTCTCTCTAAAACAAAAATAAAATTATGTCAAGCTGACATAATTCCAGCTGAAGGCAAAGATACAATGTTTTGTTAGTCTTTGTCCTTTACTGTGTACTGATGTCCTCTTGGTTTTTAAAAATATTTAACACTTTTTAGGGACACAAAGGAGGGAGAAGACACCAGAACAGGTCATCTTTAAATGCCAAAAAGCCTGAGCTCTGGGGGCCTAAAAGCAGGAAAGACTTAAAATACAAATGAGATCACATCCCTCAGGCCCAACTGGCCTTATTTCAGTTCAGCACATGAAACTTACTCCCACTCAGAGCTTTTTCATTTGCTCTCTGCTGGCTGGAATGTCCTTTCCCCAGTTCTTTTCATGGTTATCCCTTTATCATTCAAGGCTCAGTTCAAATGTCTCCTGCTACTGGGGACTCCTCCAATCAGACCATTCTAATATGGCTTCATTTCCATCATACTCTGGTATCATTACCTTGCTGTATTTTCATCAGTGCATTACCCATCTATGCAATTCTTACTTGCTTGTTTTCCATCCTCTCCGCTAGAATATACATTTATGAGAATAAGGACCTTGTATGCCTCTTTTCTGCTGTATCCCTAGTGCCCAACAGTGCCTGGCATGTGGCAGATGCTCTGAAAATAACTGATGAATGAACAATACTCTGGCAGGCTTTGGTAGCAGATGCTACACATCAGGGAAGGGAAGAATGTTTCAAAAGCACAACATAGGATACCTGCCTTCAAGGAGCCTGTACTTGTATTAAGGATAATATTAATAATCATAGAGTGGTCTAACATTAAAATAGAATTAGGAGAGCTCCACCTTTCACTTAGTTACAAGGGTAAGGCAGAATGGTTTTGAATGGCAAACATTTGCATCAAGAATTTTCTCTTGTTACCTTACTCTGTTATCTCTTAGTGATCGCTTTAGAAATCTATTTTCCTCATCTACTTCCTACCAGCCCTTGGTGTCCAGTGGGCTGGTAGGAATCAGCTCTACCATTACCTATAATCAGGCAACTCACTTCTTTAAAATATGGATAAGTTCATCATACATCCATTCATTCACTGAGTAAAAAGTTACTAAGGGCTTCTCATGTGCCAGGCACCATACTAAGTGAGCACAGCAGGAAACAAAGCGGGATCTCTTAGTTCAGGGAGCTAACATTCCAGTGATGGTGAAGGGCAAGAAACAACAACAAAAGATACTAGAAATCAGTGAAAGGCAAAGCATGGAACAAGGCTGCCAAACAAAACACTAGCACATTTCTCTTTGGTTCAATGGTGACAGAAGAGAAGATTTGAAAAGAGACAGGAGAAAATATTTGTTCATTCATGCAATAAATTAGTTATTGTGCACCTTCTATGAGACAGGTAATCTGTGCAGTGCAGATGATCAGGAACAAAACAGACAAGGAGCTTCTTAATGAGCACATAATATTCCAGTGTGAGAGAAAGATTTTTAAAAAAAATCGATGAGTGCTGTACGGAGAAATAAAACAGGGTAATGCGACTGGTACTGTAGACTGGGGGGAAGATAAATCAAAGGAGGAGGAAACATTTAACCTAAGCCTAAATGATGAGACATAACTAGCCTTTCAAAGATTGGGCAGAAAAGATTCAAGTCACAAGGAACAACTGGTGCAACACATCCTAAGGCAGTAAAGAGCAAAGGAAGATTCAAAAGACAGAGGAGGAGAATGGTTGGGAGATAAGAGAGAAGCCAGGAGTCAGGTTGTAGGACTGTGTGAAGACTCAAGAGTGGAAGCAGGGAGACCAGAGAAGAGGCTATTGTAATGTTGACCTAGACTAGGCTGGTAATAGGAAACACTGTTAACTTTATGATGCAAAGTTTCCCTTTGAGTCACACTTGTTCTGTGATATTACCTGATTCCCATGGAGCAGGGTGGTGTAGCGGTGTCACTTTGTCAATAAAGGCCCCCAAAGCATCGAGTGCTGTGGGGTGTGTCTGAGTGTGCCTGACACCAACCAGCCATACCTACACTTTATTATTATTATTTTTTTGAGACAGTTTCACTCCTGCCACCCTGGCTGGAGTGCAATGGCGTAATCTCAGCTCACCGCAACCTCCGCCTCCCAGGTTCAAGCAATTCTCCTGCCTAAGCTTCCTGAGTAGCTAGGATTACAGGTGCCTACCACCATGCCCAGCTAATTTTTGTACTTTTAGTAGAGACAGGGTTTCACCACGTTGGCCAGGCTGGTCTCAAACTCCAGACCCCAGGTGATCCATCTGCCTTTGCCTCCCAAAGTGCTGGGATTACAGGCATGAGCCACTGCACCAGGTCTACACTTTTAAATTCTTGAAACTTTGCCTTGAATGAGCTACAACTCCAAGACAGGGAACACCTTTGAAAATAGGAAGACTTCAACCACTGAGACAACTACTTCTTGGTTTCATTTCCCCACAATAAGTATAAGGCCTTAAAATGAAACGACTGGCTCTCTCGCAATACTAAGCTTGCCCATCTCCTACAGAGGAAGTTAAAAGCTGTTAGCGAGTGAAGGCAGGTGCAAGAGGAAGGGACTGGGACTGTGGTGTTGCATTCAGCCTCCAACATTTCTAACTATCCATTTACCAAGGCAGGATCCCTAATTCTGCAAAAATGGAAGAGGGGAGGGGGTGGAGGTAGTGGCAAATTCTGCCATGCCTTCACAGTTGTATTCATTTTGTTGCCAAACACAGGATGTTTCCTACAGCAGCGGTCCCCACACTTTTTGGCACCAAGTATTGCTTTCATGGAAGACAACTTTTCCACGGGGGTGGGGGAGGTTGGGTAGTTTCAACATGAAACTGTTCCACCTCAGATCATCAGGCATTAGATTCTCTTAAGAAGCGCGCAACCTGGATCCCTCACATGAGCAGTTCACGATAAAGGTCGTGCTCCTATGAGAATCTAATCTAGCTCCTGCAGCTGATGTGACAGGAAGCGGAGCTCAGGCTGTAATGGTCGCTCACCCGCAGCTCACCTCCTGCTAGCAGCCCGGTTCCTAACAGGGCACCGATGGGCCTGGGAGTTGGGGACCCCTCCCTTACAGGGTGACTAAATTGAAGCTTACCCTTCACGCTTGTACTATTCAAGGAGATGCATATCTGATCACTGTTTACATATTGCAAAGCAGACTGCAATCCACCCCTGGAGAAGAGGGGCGCAGACAAGCAGGCTAACGCCCCTGCATTTCTCCCCGCCAACCCCTCCCCCGTACCACAGCCAGGAGCAGGGTGGCGTCGACCTCGCACTGCCCTCCGGTTCTCCCACTAGGGACTCGAGGGTTGGATCTCCCCAGGTACCGCCCTCTCCCCGTAGAAGGGAAGGGGCACCCACTTCCTTCGGCTGCGTCTTTGCAAGGGAGGACGCAAGTATAAATGCTACAAAGCACGGACACGCCGGTACCCTAGAACCTGCATGCCCGGTGGTCATAATATTCTTCCCGCTTAGAGTTCCCTAGGCCTGTAGGACGCCGGGAAGCCCCGGGACCGTCGCTACAGACCACCTCTCGCCAGCTCCCGGTGTCCAGCGTCTCCCCACTGGCGCGCGCTCTTCCGGGCGCCCAGGCGGCACCGGTGCATGATGTCCTCTGCCCCCTTTACCTTGTAGAAAGTGACTGTATCCAGGGGAAGGGCGCCCTTGGTGTGCAGGCCGCTGCCGCCATGCGGAGCGGAAAGGAGCAGGAAGCCCAGGAGAACGGGAAGCAGCGGGGAGAGAGACGCTGCGCGGGGTACGGCGGTAGCCATATCGCCGGGTTCCGCGAGGGAGAGGTAGGTAGCCGGTAGTGGAGAACGCCCCGAGTCAGCGGTCACGTGACTGGAGGGGGGGGAAACAGGCTCGCGCGCGCTCACGTGCGCTCACGTGGACACCCCTGGAGGCTCCCGTCGTTATAGGGTGAGAAGGTGGGGCCTCGTGAGGGGCGGTGAAAACTGCCGCGCACGCGTACTCGGCGAAACTCGCGTAGGCCCGGGGTAAAAGGGCGGAGCCACGTTGGGGGCGGGAAAATGGGCGGCTGCGCACGCGCAGTCGCCGAGTCTCTCGGTGGGTCCGCCCCGTTCCGTTTCTGCTCCGCGTGCGCAGAGGCGCGAAGCGTGTGCGGAGACGCGGCAGCAATTGGTTTGCTGCCCTTCCTCTCCTTCGTAGATGACAAGGCCAACTATTCATTCTTAACTGCCTTTGGGCCGTTAGGCAGTCGGTTGGGACCCGCTCCTACCTTCGGTCAGTCTGTTAGTCAAATGGCTCCGCGGCTTCCCTGAGCTGCTTGGCCAGGTCAGTTTGGCAGGCAGGGTCCTCTCAGGCCAAGGCCCCCTCTCCAGGAACCCATAAGCAATTCTAGTAATTCTGCTATGCAGATACTCACTCCGTGCTTGGCTTGTGCCAGACGCTCGCTTTGCCTGCGGGACTACGGAATAGAGAGAAACAAGACAGTTCGGTGTTGAACTATCTTGGGGGAGGAGGAGGCATAGGAATAATGATCTAAGTAGTGCAGTGTAATTGCTGTAAAATAAGACTGTATTCTGGCCGGGTGCAGTGACTCACGCCTGTAATCTCAACACTTTGGGAGGCCAAGTCCAGTGGGTCACCCGAGGTCAGGAGTTCAAGACCAGCCTGGCCAACATGGTGATACCCCATCTCTACTAAAAATACAAAAATTAGCTGAGCGTGGTGGTGTGTGCCTGCAATCTCAGCTACTTGGGAGGCTGAGGCAGGAGAATTGCATGAACCCAGGAGGCAGAGGTTGGGGTGAGCAGAGATTGCAGTTGCGCCACTGCACTCCAGCCTGGGTGATAGAGTGAGACTTAGTCTGAAAAAAAAAAAAAAAAAAAAGACTATTTGCTTATTGTAAAGACACAGAGGTAGCTAGCTCCGATTAGCAGTGTCAGAGAACGTCGTAGACAGGAGGTGACTCTTTAGTCGGATCTTGAAAGAAGAGGGGGCATGCATGAGGCAAAGAGAAACAGGGCATTTTTAGCAATGGGAAAATCATGTACAGGCATGTTGGGGAACTAGTTGAGATGAATCTGTGTAAAGGTGAACTGGGGCAGCAGCTGCTGCCACCCCCCCTTTTTTAAAAAATTGATTATTACTGAGCTGTGGAGCAGATTCAAAAGGGTCTCAAGCTAAAAGGTTTGGAGTCATCAGAAGTTTTAACTAGGAGAGTGATTTTAGATTTATGTGGAGAAACATCATTCAGGTCAGCCTGGGCAATGTTGTGAAACCTCATCTCTACAGTAAGTAGAAAAATTAACTAGTTGTGGTGGTGTGTGCCTGTGGTCCCAGGTACTTGGGAGGCTGAGGCAGCTGGATCACTTGGACCAAAGAGCTGGAGGCTGTAGTGAGTGCCCTGATTGCTGCCACTGCACTTCAATCTGGCAACAGAGTGAGACCCTGTCTCAAAACAAAAACATTAACTCAGGAATGAAGGGAATGGATTGGAAGTGAGAAGACTGAAGGCAGGGTGGCTAATTAATTAGACTATGGTAGTAGTCTATGTGGAAGAGGTTAAGGTCATGCAATAGGACATAATAGGGCTGAAGAAGTATGAATGGAATTGACAAACTTTTTAAGGGTAGAATTCACAAGATTTGATGAACAGATGCATGTAAGGGTAAGAATATATACAGTGCATTGTAAGGGACTTACTGCTGTAATTAACCACTGTATGTGTCCAAAATGTGTGTGTATAAATAATCATCAGTGATAACAGGATCCAATCATGGACAACCAGTTTGATTGGGTAGAAATTTTGAAAGACCCGTGTGTGTGTGTGTGTGTGTGTGTGTGTGTGTGTGTGTGTGTCGTGGGGTGTTTGGGGAAGTTCAGAAAATTTTATTTTGAGTTTGCCCTATTTATGGCAGCCAGCTGCAACAGGGAGGCGTAGCTGGGTCTGCACACTCCATGGAGGCTGTGGGAGCCCCACCCCATCTGAGTTGAGGCAGGAGCCCCTGGTGCTGTTGTGGCTGCCCTCCCAGGTGCAGGCCCTGGGCATCTCTGCAGCCTGCACCCTTGGGGGACCAGAAATGCACCCCACTGCAATCCCTGCAGGCTCAGTGGTGTCTGCTCCTACCACCTGGCCTCTCTCCACTCTCAGGCTCTGCTCCAATCTCAGAGCAGACTTGGGGCTGAGCCCTAGGGGCCATGAATGGCAACGGGAGGCATATTAATTCCTGGGTGGGAGGGGGAGAGTCCCCAGTAAGGCCCCATATTCAGGCCAGGGAGGGCCTGAAGACTGGAGTCCAGGCTGCCAGTCCTGCAGACTGAAGTAGGGACTTATGGTGCCTCTTCTGGCCTGCTCATGGCTGCCCATGGACCAGTTGGCATGTACTTCCTCCCCTCTGAGGTCCATAAAAGCCTTGGGTCCAGCCAGAGCAGGGCAGAGGACTGCCAGAGGACCAAGAGGGCAGAGAACTACAGATCAACCAGTTGCAGAGAGGACCTACCCTTTCTGCTGAGAGCTGCAGATGACAACCTGCGGGCAGAGAGAAGCCACCCTCTTCAGGGTCTCCTCTCTGCTGAGAGCTGCAGACATTGAAACCACCAGGTGCAAAGAGGAGCTACCCTCTCCAGGGCCTCTTCTGTGCTGAGAACTGAATACTCAATGGATGACCTGCCTACAGAGAGGAACTATCCACTGCAGGGGTCTCCTCTGAGCTGTTGTAACACTCAGTAAAACTCATCTTTGTTTTGTTCACCCTTTGCTTGTCCATGGACTTCATTCTTCCTGGATGCAGGACAAGAACTTGGGCAAAGGCACTGTGGCCACAGAGGTTTCTGCCCAGAAAATTGACACCCCAAAGATCCTGTAACACTATGAGCTACAAGACAATTGATAGAAATTAGAAGAGGGGAAAACTGAACTGAGGTGGTGAAACAAGACTTTATGTTATTGGTGGAAATAGAGTTAAGCCTTGGAAAAAAGAACATTTGAGATAGAAAACAAGTAGAAAAGGAGTAGATGTGGGAATGAACATGATGCTTTGGGAGAATGACTGGCTTGTCTGGAGGGAGTTCTCAAAACAGGAGATAATAAAACAGTTTTAAGCCCTTATTGGGTACAATTTTGAAGTCATACTCAGAATTTTCTGTTCTGTAGTCTATATGGAGCTATTAAGAGTTTTAAAATTGCTTTATAGGCCAGGCACAGTGGCTCATGCCTGTAATCCCAGCACTTTGGGAGGCTGAGGCAGATGGATCACCTGAGGTCAGGAGTTCGAGACCAGCCTGGCCAAGATTGTTGAAACCCCGTCTCTACTAAAAATACAAAAAATTAGCTGGGCATGGTGGCACATGCCTGTAATCCCAGCTACTCAGGAGGCTGAGGCAGGAGAATTGCCTGAACCCAGGAGGCGGAGGTTGCGGTGAGCCGAGATCGCGCCATTGCACTCCAGCTTGGGTAACAAGAGCAAAACTCCGTCTCAAAAAAAAAAAAAAAAAAAAACAAAAATTAGCCAGTAAAAAAAAAATAAGAAAAATAAAATTAAAATAAAATTAGAAAAATAAGATACAATAAAGATAAAAAGATAAAGATAAAAATATAAAAATAAAATAAGAAAAATAAAATTAAAATAAAAAAAAATTAGCTGGGTGTTGGTGGCGGGCCCCTGTAATCCCAGCTACTGAGGAGGCTGAGATAGGAAAGCTGCTTGAACCCAGGAGGCAGAGGTTGCAGTGAGCTGAGATTGTGCCATTGTTCTCCAGCCTAGGCAACAAGAGCTAAACTCCATCTGAAAAAAATAATAATTAGATTTTTGGCCTCAGGACCCTGATGATGATCTACAAAAATAAACAGTATAGTTCTGGCCTATTTTGGAAGTCATAAAATCCCATAGTTGACACTGAGGTGGAAAATTTAAATGATCACCCTGGGTGTTGTATGGAGGTAAAGAGGAGGGGACATGTTACGTAAGTGTCCATGTGACTCAGCATAGCAACTGGAGTGAAGAGAAAGAAAAATAGCATGATCGCCTAAGGCAATAAATATATAAAGTCCCATTTTTCAGTCCTTAGGTCAGTGAGGCGCCAGTTTCAAATCTTTGCTCAAACCTCAACCTCCTACTGAAATCTATGCTGACCATCTTGTAAAAATTGCTTCTCCCTGACTGCCCTGCTTTCCATCTCCCTTCCCCTTGTTACTTTTTTTTCCTCCATAGTAGTTTTCAACTTGTAACAGACTATATAATTTGCTTAGTTTACTTTTGCTTATTATCTGTTACCTATGAGGGCTGGATTCTTTTTTTTTTTTTTTTTTTTTGGTCTGGAGGAGAAACTTTTCTGTATCTCAAAATACTTTTGGCTGTTTTTATATTCCCTTCTTGGACCACATGCAAGGAGATTTCAAAAAGTTCATGGAAAAATGGGATTACGGCCAGGTGCAGTAACTCACACCTGTAATCCCTGCACTTTAGGAGGCTGAAGGAGGAAGACACTTAAGCCCTGGAGATCAAGACCAGTTTGGGCAACATAGGGAGACCCCATCTCTACAAGCAATTAAAAAAATTTTAACTAGATGTGGTGGCACATGCCTGTGGTCCCAGCTACTCAGGAGGCTGATGTGGGAGGATCCCTTAAGGAGTATGAGACCAGCCTGGGCAACATAATCAGACCTTGTCTCTAAAAAAAAAAAAAATCAGCACAGAAGGTGGTTATGTGTTGGGATGTTTATTGCAGCATTGTTTGCAGAAGAGAAAACAAAGACAATCGATATGCCCATTATTAGAGGAATTGTTGGATGGGTGATTTTATGTGGAGTATTATGTAGCAATCAAAATGGGTTAGAACTATATTAAAGCAGAAAGATGTCTGTGAAAGTGTGAAAAGCAGTGTGTACAGAAACACATGATCCCATTTTTAAAAAACCCTGCCACCTCAACAATACCCCTTGCCATATATGTGTGTATACATTTGGATGCGTATTGATGCGCATAAGGAAAAATATGAAGAAATACATTAGGATTAAACATTA